GCCGGTGGAAACACCCGCAGTCGCATTGAGATGCTCATCCAGATGGTGCAAGTCAGACTCAAACGGAAAAGCGGCACTGCGACAAATGCTTCCGTGACCTCCCCGATAACTATAGCAGCCGCACTTGCAAGAGATGCGTGACTTCTCTCGCCCGTGGCGACATCGGCGAGGTTCAGTTTGCAGTCGTCGCTAGCGTCGTCAACTGGGTCCGTGGCGACCTGAAACGCATAATGCGCGAAGACGTCTCCGTCGGGATTGTAGGCCAGCGATCCGACGCTGCGAGAAAGAGAGATTACTTTCGGAAGCTTGCCGCTATAGCCGAAATTCGGCACCCGAAATGGCTTGGGCAGGGATCGCCTTCGGCCGAGCGATGTCGCATGGCAGGTGCCGATGTGGGCCCAGATGATGTCGGAGGCAATGTGTGTCATCCCTAATCATGCGAGCGTCGCCTTTCGCTTCCAGCAGCGCCTTGTCTTTTCGGAGCAGATGATTCGCCTCAGGATTGAACGCGGCCTCGAACCCTAGCGCGGCGAAAGGATGCGCGCGCGAGTCTGGTCCCTGGCGCGACGGCCCGCCCTGAGCGCTTCGAGAAAGATTCGCGACCTTTCCCGCTCCACCCGGGAAGGGGCCAGGGCCCATGGGCCGCGCGACGCTCGCGGAGCTTTGGGCGGAGGCCCCAGAGGGCGAGGCCCAGGAGGGCGAGGGGGGCAAGGCTGTCGGTGAAGGGATTGCTCCTTTCGCCGACCCACGCCCTACCCCGCCTCCCGCGCCTCCATCCCCGCGTCGCGATGGGCTCGGCATGGGCGCCGCCTCCTCCGAGGGCGCGGCGCCCTCTGGCGGCCCTGCCCACGGCCGCGCTGGCTGGACTGGCGGGGCCGCTGCCGCCGCCGCTCCGATTGCACCGGGCGCAAGGGCGCCGCGGGCGCCGCCGCGTCGGCCGCGGGCGCCGACGCGGAGGCCGCAGAAGCTGATCACAACCCGCAAGGCTGCATTGCTCCACCGGGAGCGCAGCCGCAGTGCCGCGCGGAAGCGCCGCCCAGATGCGCGGTGGCGCGACCGCCTTGAGCACTGCGAGAACCACGCGTACCGCCATTGGTCATGCCATTTGCGCAATTGGATCTACGTTGGCGAGAACGATTGCAAGCGCTTTCGGATTGACCCGAACACTACGCATACGATTGGCCAGTTTGGCGACCATGGTAATCGCATTTGGGATGACCCCTACTACGATTTCCAAAGGTTTCGTTGCTTTGGGTTCATGTAGATTTTGTTTCGTACTTTTTTCTCTTTGGCATCCATGCTGCATATCTTTCGACATCGCCGTGGCATCACGTATCTGCATATTCCAGATTGAATGTCTCATGGCACTGTATCGTTCAATATATCATAGCCTTCTGGGCATAAACGCACCCCGGTAGGTCGCCCGCCATCAGTGCCTGACTTATCTGGGACATCACGTGCATGAACGCACCCAGGCAGGTCGCCCGTCGCCAATCGTCTCACACCATACTATAGATTTTCTTCTCATGGGAAGCCGGAAGCGCAGAGTGCGACATGCGAACCATGATTCCCATATTCTTTATTTTGATAAGCTTATCACACATCTGCATTTCTTTTGACGGTCGTCGCGCTTTTCTTGAGGCCTGGAGCGCCTCGCGCAATCAGTTGCCGCAATCGATTTGACACAACTTGTTTCTTTGATCATTTGTCGCAACAGCTTTGACCATGCGATGCGTTCGACCTGGCGCCGCGACAACTTCGATCTGAATGCCAATGCGAACTCGGGCCTGGACATCCCAGTGAGTGGCGCATATGTCTGCATGATCAGTTGTCGTCGCAGCTTCGATCGCAGTATTTTTACCCTGTATATGCCCGGCGCGCGAATCTCTGTGCGCCGGTGGGAGCGCCCGCGCCCGTGCTCACGATGCGGCGCTGTTTTTGTTTCCATTTGTCATTCTTTCCTTGCCCCCCCAGCCTCGTCGCCCGCAGTGGCGGGGGGTCGCCCGTGAGTGCCGAAGCGTTTTGGGGGGCACACCCTGGGGCCGCTAACCGCGGGTAGTTTCCCCTGCGCACCCTGCGAGCGGGCTTTGGCCCCCCTTGCTCTCCTTCCTAGCCGAGACGGCCTCGTTTGGAGGTGCGGCGGGCATGGCGGTGCGCTGAGTGGACCTCGCACCGCTGTTCCCGAGCCCCGCCTTCGTCTCCCGCGGGTCCGAGGCCCGCGTGGGGCGGGCGGGCATCGGGGCGGGGGGCGCGCGCGATGTCCGCTCATATCGCCATCATATCCTTATCTACCGCCGACGTCTCGGCCTAGGTGTTCATTGGCACGGGTTGCCGCGCCGCTCCTTCCGTGGCGCGCGGGAAAAGGGCTCGCGACCTTTTTGGTCGGTAACCGGTTCCGCGCATCTTCGAGCTCCGACGGGCGGGCTGGGACGGCGGGTTCCACGGCGCTGCAATCCTGCACTTGGACGCCGCCCCCTCGCATTATGAGGGCCTAGGATGGACTGCTTCCCGGGCGCGGGGGCGCGTCGAGGGGGTCCACGACGCGGAGCTCGACAACGCCGCCCGCGCCAAGAAACGCCCTCCGCCTCTCCGCCGCGCAGGACGAGGCAGGCGGAGCGCTTCTGGCGGCGACATCTCCAGCGTCGGCGCCTGGATTTTGCGCCGCTGGCCAGGCGCGCGCGGCAGGTCATTGGCGTTCTTTGGACGGCTGCCCCGCCGCGGGCGAGAGCCGCTCTTTTACGCATGTGGTTCAATTTGTGATGCGCGGGCCGGCGTTTCCAGCAGCGCGGTTCTCGATGTTTGTTCGGGTGCGCTTGTGAGGGCTCCATTGAACACTACGGCGTCTGCCCGGTTGTCCAGAAGCTCGCGTGGCGCAGCTTCGCTATCCTTCGTTCCGCAACGCCTCTTTCGGATTTCTTCCGTTCCCCGTCCCCAGCGAGCCTGCCCGCAGACCTCGTTTTGCGCTCGGCCATCGCACTGCGGCGGTGTACTTGGCGCTGTGCCCGGCGAGACGCGCCGCGGGGCCTGGAACGCCCACCGCGGCGACGCTCGGGCAAATCGCTTCGGAGTTGGTCCGCGGTTGCCCCGCCGCGCGCGCCGTTGCGCAAGGGCACGGAGGTACGCGCGCACGGCATCCACGCCGCCAGAAGCCAATGTAGCTCATCCCGCGGGCCTCCCCCGTCCTCCTCCACCCCCCCATCCCCCGCCTCCGGGTCTCGTTTCCGCCATATTGTTTTGACCCCGCCGCGTGGCCGATGACGCACACTCCTGGGGAAAACAACAGAGTGGTGTTGAAGTGTTGGTTCGAGCGTGAAAAAGCAGAGCGGCGTTCGCCTTGAGGCTCCTTAGAGTCTAATAATTTGCTCGTTTGGCCTCGGGATCCTTGAGCCCAACTGGCTTTTTGGGATTGGATGTCGGGTGGCAGTTTTAACGCCGCCCGTCTCCTTCCTGCGTGCAGCGCGCGGCAGTAAAGTGACCAACGCCTCGGTTCCCGCACCGGGTAGTTGAAAAGTACACTTGCTATGATAATGCTTACTTGGCGCCGCGCGGGGAGGCAATTTTACAGGTTTCCCCCTCCATGCGACGGGGCGCGGCGCACTGCGGAGTACCGGCGTATCCGGTCATTTCGGGCGTGCCCGCCCATCCGCCATCGCACTGCGGAGGGAGGCTCTTCGGCGCGGCGGCGGATCAGGACGCGCGTCGGCGCCACTGGGCTGAGTTTACTTTTCTTTCCTCCTTCTTCCTCTCTCGTTTCCTCCCTGCCGCTGCCGCCGGTGCTGCTTCTCCTCCATATGCCACCGTGATACCTAGTTTGGTTCGCTCCCATTGGAGCTGCACTCGCTGGGGATTGCCGGGACCTTGGGCATGGCCAGTTATTATCCGTTTCATGGTATGTTGTTTTTGTTGATGAACTGCCGGGGCCATCGAGTTTTGAACGCAAAGCTGACCCGACCTGGCAGATCTGCTTCCAGTGGGGATTCGCATCGATAGGCCCGTGCTGGCCGACGCCTGCGGCAGGTAGCACGTCATTTTCGGGTGTACCGGCTTATCCTCGATTTGAGGCTGGTCCCTGATCTAGCTCTCTCCTCGTCCTCCGCCTCCTTCCTCCTCCCCTCCTGTTCCCGTCTCCTTTACTACTACTCGTCGGGTTTTATGGTTTACGTGGGCGTCCTGGAGCGCTCGTTCCGGAATTCGGGGCACTCTGGGACCGTCTCGGGGCGCTTCTTAGGCCGTCTTGGCCCGTCTTGAGGCCCCCCGGGGCCCCAAACAATTTCGCGACAAGACGCGGGAAGCCGCGTCACATTTCTCAATATGGGGTCCGGGACTTTACGAGATTCCTCAGGATTGAGGATTGAGGTCCAGAGGATTCAGGAAAGCACCGGAGGGCACGCCTACTCCGTGCCAGAGGCACGGTGGCGGATTATTGCTCCCGACCCCCGCGCCTCTGCCTGATCACACCCTTTATCGCCCAGGGAAGAAACGCAGCGAGAGGGGCAGGATTGCAACTGCTGACGGGCGGGGCGTGCCAGGAACATAATTAAGAGGCCAGGGGGATGCCTCGGTGGGCCACGATGCTTCAGAGCGCGGCGCTGGGGGCACACTAGCGTCTCGTAGCCTCGAGGGGTCCGCAGGTGCGAGACGAGGTGTGGGTCGAAAGGGCGTTTTTCCCCGTATCGTTTCACTTCGTGTCGAGATGCTCTTTGGCGCGGCGCCAACAATTGTGGGGTTGTTGTCCGACGTGGGAAGAGTTGAATTGTGGGGAGTCGGGTACAGGTGTGGGCTCCGCTGGGCTGTCGAGTGCCGCCCGTGACCACGTAACTCAGTCACAACAAATGGTAGCTTATTTCCAATCTTCGAGTTGGATCACAGGGCCCCGAGCGATAATTATGGAGGTTCGGGTTGTCCCGTCTAGTCATCCTTCCCGCTGAGTGTTCGCTCGTTTTGGCTGCCCCAGCCCAGTGCTCCCTCCGCCCCGTTGCCTTCTGCAAGCGCCGGCCGAGGAGATCAACGAGAAACGCCGCAATACGGAATTGAGGCTGCTGGGAGGGCACAGAAGGTTACAGTCGCGATGTTCCTTCCGTACTTCTTTCCCCAGTCGTCAAGAAGCAAATGGCTTGGATGAAAACGGGTCCTCATTTTACTTCGCCGTCTTCGGACTCCCTGGGCCATCCACAGACCCCAGGGCCGTCGAAATGTCTAGATACTACTCAGGGTGAACAGTTTGTCCTGGGGAAGGTTCGCTGGGGTCCAGGACTCATTTCTCTCAGGACCCGGCCTTTTTCATGCCAACTGGGGCCTATTTCAATTCGATCGATCCAGCTCGGTATCGTTTTCGGCCAGCACGGTCCGACCCGACGCGTGCTGGTCGGAATTGTGCATCGTGGCGCGGCCAATGTTATTCGATTTCGACTCAGTGCCGATGCAGCCCGATCCGACGTATATTCTGATTCGATCCGGTTTTCCGATCTGATGCCGATTGGTCTTTTCAGGTCATTATTCTTCCCGCTGTCCTTCTTCCTCGTCCTCCTCGTCCTCCTCGCCGTCCCGCTCGCCACCTCCTCGCCTTCCCGCTGTCGCCGTCCTCCCCTCTCACGCCGAGGAGGCCCAACAAGTGGAGCGAACTGGTCGTAGTTTTTCTTACTGGCACTCCTGGATGCCAGCGGCGTTCCTCGGGGATATTTCGGTTTGTTTCTTTACAGTGGCGTTCCGCGGGGTTCCTAGGTTATATTTCCTTACAGTCGCGTTTCTCGGGGCTCTTTGTTTGGTCTTGTTCACTTTCAGTGGCCAACGCCAAGCAACGCCAATCAACGCCAAACATCGCCAGACAATGCCAAGCAACGCCAAGCAATGCCAAGCAATACCAAGCAACGCCAAGCACCGCCAGGCAATGCCAAGCAAAGCCAAGCAATTCCAAGTACCGCCAGGCAATGCAAATCAATGCCAAGCCATTCCAAGCAATGTCAAGCACTGCCCGCGTGCAACAGGAAGCTTTTCCCTCACAGGAGTTGCGCCAGGTTCATTGTTGTTGCGTGTTTCCCATGATGTGTCTGCGGTGGCCTCCTCCCCATTCGTCCGACGACACTATCTTTTTAAGTTTTGGGGCCCTGGTACTCTCGACCCTTCCCTTGAGACCAGTGTTTCATTATGAGTTGTTTGTCTGACAGTCCCAGAGTTCGAAACTGGCTTCCGGAGGCTGGAAGTATCAGACTCGGTATTTCAAATTAGCGGACGTCTGGGATGAGGGCCTCTTCCTGGTCCTCCTCCCTCCTTTGATGTTCTGTACCCTGCTGCCCCACCCCTCAGGCTGGAGGAGCTCGGTGGGGGCGTCCCCGTCGAGGAGCCGGAGCGTTATCAGGTACGCCGGAACCGCAGCCAGCGGAGCAGAGAACGACGACGGACGGCGACGACGAGGTTGACATCCGATGCCCGCCGCCATCTGCGCTCGAGGATCTCAGCGGAGAAAATATACAGATACCGCTACCTCATTATTTTCGGCTTTCGGGGCTTCTTGGGGGTCCCTCATCGCCACATCTGTATCGCACCCTTGAAGAGGTCCGGAGAGTGGGAGTAGAGGTATGGGTATATGTGTTGTTTCCCTAATCCCCAAGGCGGAGGCCCCGTCTTCCCTCCTCCCCCGTCTCTTCTCCTCCTCTCTTCTCCTCCTCCCCTCCTCATCTCTTTCCTTCCTCTCTTCCTCCTCCTCCCTGCCACTCTTGCCCCTCGTGTCGTACCGACGCGGCCATCCCTTCTCCTCCTCATCCTCCTCCATTCCGTTTCCTCATGGAGAATTCCTCCCTGTCGCACCCCGAGGCCAGTCGAAAGGGTGGGCCAGGCGTTTCGTCTGAGACTTCCCCACCATTTGTGACCCTGAAGCTTAACATCTGCAAGAGTTTCACGGATGGAGGGCGGGCGGTTTTCAAAATATGGTTCTCGCTTCAGCGCCGCGCACATTCGTGGTCAACATGTGCAAGAGCTTCACGTATGGAGGGTGGGCGGTTTTCGAAATGTGGGTTCGTTTTAGTGCCGCGCACATTCGATTTCAATGTTTTGAGAATTTCACGGATGGAGGTCGGGCGGTTTTCAAAATATGGTTTTCGCCTCAGCGCCGCGCACACCCGTCTTAAGCATTTGAAACAGCTTCACGGATGGAGGTCGGTTCCTTTTCAGAATGTGGTTCTCGCCCTAGCGCCGCGCACATTCGCTTTAAGAGCTTACAGCAGTTTCAAGGGTTCTCATGGTTAACGTACCAACACTGGTGTTTGGGCACGATGTCGGACTGTCGGGGCGCAACCGTTAAGTGGATTGTTGGTGTTGGAGTCCCAGGGATAGAGTATTCTGGCACGCTTCAGGATTGCCAAGGCGCAACAGTAATTGTGATTCGCGGCGTTCAAACTCCAGATTTTTTTTTCTGGCGCAGTTCAGGATTTTCAACCGTTTGTGTTTCAACGGGGCACTTTTCCTCAGTGAAAGTGAACCTTGGTAGGGGCCCATGAAGAGAGAACTTTGATGGAGGGCTTATTGCAATCTCGTTGATGAGTCTTGGGTATACACTTGTCCTCCTCTCTTCCCCTCTTCGTCCGCGAGCCGCAGGAGGAGGAGGAGGAAGAGGAGGACAGGAACGAGGAGGATAATGAGCAACGAAAGAGGGGGAGGAGGGAGCAGGGGCAGGGGGAGTGGCAGAGGGAGGGGGTCTCTGGAGGAGCAGGGGCGCCAGGTCTCTGAGGACAGGGCGTGACTTCCTCCTGGCCCTGCCAATATGGGGCTGGAGGGTGTGTGTGTGTGTGTGGGTGTGTGCGCGCATGCATGTTTGGGCAATGCGGCCGGGGCTTGCTCGCCTGCTGGGCACTCCCTCCTGCTCCTTGCTCTGCGACCCCACCGGCTCTTCCCTCCTGCCTCTCCTCGGCCCCCCTGCCCTGGGCGAGGCTCGCAGTCGGCGCGCCCCACCGAATGAGTGCTGGTGCTCTTCGGCACGATGCCCGCTGACGATGCTCTTCTGGTGGTGCCTCTTTTGATTTCGGGTGCGCGCAGCATCAACTCGGTGCACCCCTTCGGCTCGTCGACGTTCTCTCAAGCCTGCTCCTGCCTGGACGTCACGTCTGTGGCCCACCCATCCTGCGGCCTCAACATCATCCCCTTCCCTCCTCCCTCCCACTCTCTCCTCCTACTCGCTCTTCCTCCTCCCCCCCCGCTTGGGAGGCACGGCGGGGGAGGCAGGACGAGTAGGGGGGGAGGGGCTTCCGAAAGCATCCTGAAACCTCCGAGGATGCCCAGAAGCCTACAAGAGACATATGACAGCAGCTGGAAGCATTCAACATCCAGCGAAAGGGTTCGTAAACCTCTGGGCCCTCCTCCTCGTCCTCCTCCCCCTCCCACTTCTCATCTCCTCACTCCCACCTTCTAGGTGATGTGGACGCTCGTGACCGACTACTGCGACATGTTCAAGAACACAATACGAGGGAAGTACGACCGGAAGCTCCAGCGGTACATGGTCTCCCTTCCGACAGGATGGTGCCGCCCTCACCCTGACCTCTGAACTCTCCGAATGAGAATCGGGGAAATGTGAGACTCGAGTTTTGAGGGGAAGATGGAGATGGCATGCAACATGCATGCGAGAAGCGGCCTGGCGCACTGCGCTGGCCGATGGGGGCATCCGCGCGCGGATTCTCCAGGGGGGCTTTTTGTCGAAACACCCTTGCAAGAATTGTGCGCGCGCGCATCGGGGCTCCATCGTTGAAGTCTTGAGACAACCATCGGTTTGTAGCCCCCTCACCATGCAGCCCGCTTGCGGGCGCATTGGGGCTTCCTGACTGCCTCTTGTGGGCCTCACGGGGCTTCTTGGGCGCATCTTGGTGGCCTCCGGGGGCCTACTGGGGGCCTCAAGGGCCAGAGACCTCGAAATATCGATTCCTCTTAGGGCGTTTTGGGGGCACACTTGGGTTGTCTGGGGAGCCTCATGGGTCGTCTTGGGGCCCTCTTCGGGGCCTCGTGGGCCATTTTGGAGCGATTTGAAGGGCCTCCGAGGCCGAGAGGGAGCGCTGGGAAGGGGGAAAAGCGAGAACGCCATAATCCCTTAAAAACCATCGGAAAATATATTAAGTTTGCCCCCCAGAGCCCTCTTGGGGAGCCTTTTGATGCCGTCCTGGAGCGTGTTGGAGTCCTCGTCGGCCGTCTTGAGGGCATCTTGGGCGTCTTCGGGGCCTCTTGGGACCGTCTTGGGCCCTCTTGGGACCCCCTGAGCCTATCGTGGCCCGTTGCGGGGCGGGCCCAGGCCGTCTCGGAAGCTCTGGGACCTCTCCAGAACCCCAGGAGGCGCCCATGGAGGGTACAGGCACTGGCCCGCCCCCCCCCCTGACCTACTTCTATACACATATATATATATATATATTCACATACATATGTATATGATACCGGAGAGAAAACCCAATCATAATCGCTTTAGGGTTTTAAGGCTATGGGGCTATAAGGCCATAGGGCTAGAAGGCTATGGGGCTATCGGGCTACAGGGCTACATGGCCATAGGGCTATCGGGCTGTTGGGCTATAGGTTTATGGGGCTGTAGGGCTATAGGGCTGCAGGGCTATAGGGTTATAAGGCTATAAGGTTATAGGGCTAATAGGGCTATATGGCTACATGGCTATAGGGCTATAGGGCTATATAGAGCTACCGGGCACCTGGGCACCCGGGCACCTGGGCACCCAAGCACCCGGGCACACGGGCACCCGGGCACCTAGGCACCCGGGCACCCAGGCACCCAGGCACCCGGGCACCCGGGCACCCGGGCACCCCCTGGCATCCGGGCACCCAGGCGTGCGGCGAAAATCGGCGGCAAACCTAACCTAACCAAATGAATCCGCTAGGACCCCTACAGAGGCAAGCTCTGATTGGGGAATATATGTGTATGTATGGTGCACGCTATGTGGTGTTAAGTATGCAGTACAGCACATGTGGTGTAAGCTATGTGGTGCGGCGGCGACGGGCAGCGACGAGGCGGCGACGAGGCGGCGACGAGGCGGCGACAAGCGGCGACGGGGAGAACAAACAGCCAAAAAATTAAGCCAGCTGACGCGACATATAGCAGCCTAGAACGGGCGGTGACGAAGCGGCGACGGGCCAAGAACAAACCGGCTGAGGCGACTCACCAATCCAGGACTGGCGGCGACGACACGGAGACGAGCGGCGACGGGGTGAGAACAAGGCGGCCTGGGGGACTCGTGAGTACAGGACGGGTGGTGACGAATCGGCGAAGGGCGGCGACGAGCGGCGAAAACAAGGCAGCCGGGGCGAGACACCAGCCCAGTCTCTTCAAAGCCAAGCAAGACCCCCTAAATGCAAGAATTGTTTATGTAATAAAAGCTGGTGTAATGACTGCGATGCAAAAGCTTGGTCTGATGCAAGCTGCTTGGCGCAAGCATTGCAGCGTCATCCATGTGAATCAAGATTTGGGGTGCTATCTGTGGACATCAATACATGTGGTGATTTCTACGTGGCGCAAACTGTGGTGCAAACTACGGGGTGAAACCACGTGGTACAATACGTGTTGTGCAATATTGGTGGTGCATCCCACGTGGAACAGTCCATGCGGAACACGTCAACCACCGCGCAACATCCGCGCGTGACCACCACCAATGCTTGCGCAACCATCCTACCCACCCAACAGCAACTTTGTGGCGATAATGAAATAGCCATGATCTCGACGAACGCACGGGCGCGCAGGTTCCAACCGCGCACCAGAGCCCTTCCTCCAGGTTGCGAAATGGTGGTTGGCGATGGTGACGACCGCGATGCAAACGACGATGCTGATGACAGTGTTGATGACGCTGATGCCCGTGGCAATGCCCTTGGAGATGAGGGCAATACGATAGCGACCACGACAGTGTTGATGGTGATGAAGGTGATTGTGATGATAATGCTGATGACAACGATGACGCTGATGATGATGACGATGATGGTGATGGTGCTGTTGATGATGCTGTTGATGCTGATGCTGCTGATGAGGATGATGGTTCTGATGATGCTGATGATGCTGATGATGCTGAGATGATGATAATGATGATGCTGATGATGATGGTGATGGTGATGGTGATGATGATGAGGAAGTGCCCGCGCGCAGACATTTGAGGAGGTCGACGAGTTCAACGATGACGGCGGTGACATGATCCCAGCAATATATATATATATATGAATTGAATAAGCGGCACCATAACTATGTGGTAGACGCTCACGTCCGGTAAAAACTTCCACCAACTGAGACAACAAATATACATCCAGAAGATGAAGTAGAAGTAGCCGACCTCGAACAGCAACGCATGATCAAGGTCAGGTATGTCTGACGACTGCATTCGCAAACGGTGGTGATGATCACGGTGGTAAGGATGACGCGGACGGGGGTGACAACGATCGTGTTGATGAGGATGTTGGGAAGTGCCCATCCGCGGAAATCTATCACCTTGACATGTCGTTATTGAACATATTGGTTGTTCGTATGTTGTTGGAAACCTGTGTGCTAAAATGGTTAGACCGCCAATGGTTCTGGACCGAGTTCGACGTGCGCGACAGGATTGGTGAGCGCGCCATCGTGGCTGAACGCGTCCTCCAAGGGGCCCCCAGGGAACGCCCAAGAGGCCCCCCAACACACCCCAACTAATCATGTCCCCAGAAAGCCTTCTGGGGACAGGGTTCATCATGGGCCCGCGAGTCTCCGGAAGCTCCGAAGTACCATCACCACGACGACATTTCGACGACGACGACGACGGCACGCCCCAACAGGCTCCCCAAGACTTCCCCAAAAATCATGTTCCCAGAAGGCCTTTTGGGAACCCGATTCATCAGGCCTCCGCCCCCCTACGCAACCATCTTCCCCGAAAACCTTCCGGAATACGGATTGACACGCATGGACTTCTCACTGCCCATAGTGCGTTCAGCGTTATGGACATTTCTTCACTTCCCGTTCGAACCATCTGTGGTCCCTACTTCAGTGGAGCCTGGGGCCTGCTAGAGCCTAAACGCTCGCGAAGCGCGCGCGTGGTTCTAGTATATATATATATATATATATACTGGACCACACAGATTGCACCACATAGAGGTTGCACCACATATATAGCAGAATACAATTTTCACGACAAAGACTGCACCATATAGACTGCGCCACATATTGTCTCCTTTCTAATTGAAGAATAGACCCTACCCCCCGGAGGTAACGAAACACCTTGTAGTATTGCAATTTACATTTGATTCTGCCCCATCGTCCGTCCTAAATCTGAATCCATATTTTCCCAGCCAATCTGGTATCACTCTGAACAAAAGTACTATGCGCGCAGTCGTTTATCAAAAGGCATAAGTTCCCAACAATCCCTTGCAACAAATGGGACGAAGTGCACGCGCGCGTCGTCGCGCGCGCATGCCGAAATCCTTCAAACACCTTCGGTGTCGGAAGGATTTCAAAATCGAGTTTTCGAAACACATACAAAAGCACATGAATTCGCAATACTGATGTTCTAAAAAAGCTAAAACGTGCGCTCTTGGGAAATCTTAAGAAAACCATAGGTTTTCAACATTGCCAAAAAATACGACCAAACGGGCTCCGCGCGCGCATGTCGAAATCTTTCGAACGCCCTTGCGCGCGTGCCGTCGCGAGAATCCTCTGTGGGACGAAGTGAAGACGCGCGCGTCGTCGCGCGCGCATTCCGAAATCCTTCGGAAGGATTTCAAAATTGTGTGTCCAACAACATACAATAAACACAAGGTTTCGCAACATGGATTTTCAACAAAAGCGTGCGCGCGCGCTCTTGCGTCGTCGTCGTCGTCGCCGTCCTCCTCTCGTCGTCGTCGTCGTCGCCGTCGTCGTCCTCTGTCTTTCCTCGTCGTCGTCGTCGTCCCCTTTGGCGTCGTCGTCGTTTCCGCCGTCGTTGTCGCCGTGGTCGTCCTTCCTCCTCCCTCGTCTTCGTCGTCGTCCGTCGTCGGTGTCTCGTCGTCGTCCCTCCTATTTCGTCTCCGTCGTCGTGGTCGTCGTCGTCGTCGTCGTCGTCGCCGTCCTCCCTCCTCCTTCGTAGTTGTCGCCGTCGTCGTCCTCCCTCCTCCCTCGTCGTCGTCGTCTCGCTGACGACGTCGTCGTCGTCGTCTTTGTCGTCGTCGTCGTCGTCGTCGGCGTCGTCGTCGTCGTCGGCGGCGTCGGCGTCGTCGTCGTCGTCGTCGGCATCGGCGTCGTCGTCGTCGTCGGCGTCGTCGTCGTTGTCTTCGTCGTCGAAGTCGTCGTAGTCGTCGTTGGTGTCGTCGCAGTCGTCGGCGGCGTCGTCGTCGTCGTTGTTGCTGTCGTTGCCGGCGTCGGTTACAAGTGCCATCTGTTATTTGCCGTCACGATTATAGGAGGTCTTGCGACCAAGTTGCGGGTGGGATGGTGGGATGTTTGCTTGGAGCAGTGGAGAGGACAGCCTCAAGACAGTCAAAGCGAATTGCACCACAACCATCCCAGCCCAGCCGGTATCGAGCCCCACCCGTCACTTTCTGCACAAAATTCTATGCGCGCATGCGTTTATCACAAGTCATTTGTTTCAAGAGTCTCTTGCAACAAGTGAGACGAAGTGCGCACGCGCGCGTCGTCTCGCGCGCATGCCGAAATCCTTCAAACACCTTTGTTTCCGTACGGGTTTCAAAACCGAGTGTCACACAACATATAAAACACATGGTTTCGCAACACGGATTTTCAAACACTTGCAATTGTATGAAAACCCCATTTGGATTTTCAGCATTTTCAAAAATGTTACCACAGGGGCTTCGCGCGCGCGCATGTCGACATCGTTCAAACGCCCTCGCGCACGTGCCGTCGCGATAATATTTTGCAAACGATGGGGCGAAGTGTGCGCGCGCGTCGTCGCGCGCGCATGCGACATGTCGTCCGCGCGTCCGCGAGGAATCCGTCGAAACATCGTGCGTCTCGCTCTTGCGCATTCTTAAGGAAATCATATGTTTTGTTATTTTTACATGTGCGTGGGATTCTGCCAAACGGGCCTCTGGCGCCGCATGCCGACATCATTCGCACGACCTTGCGCGCTAGCTGGGGGAGGGGGGGCACGATCCGTGTCAAACACAACCATGCGGGCCCCTCGCGCGCGTCGGCCGCGCGCGCATGTCGGACTCTTTCCAAAACCTTCATCACCAACGCAAGGACGCCGTCAGCGGTCAGCGCCACCGCGGCCATGTCGGTCGCACCAAACTAGCTGGCCGCTGCGCGCGCGCTTGGGTTCGAGGCGGCGCCGCAGAGATGGACCAGCGAACGGCAAGCACTCATTGCAATCGCCACCGCATGGATTTTGCAAGCCAAGCTGCGTGTGGGTGGGCGGGATGTATGCAAGAGCATGGGACGTGCCAACTCGTTTGTTAAACCCAGTTTGCACGACATAGTTTGCACCACATAGTTTCACCACTATACTAGATATGTATGTGTGTTTATTTGTGTATATATATGTATGTATAACAATGTATACTAGTAATTGTTCAAAGAGAGTGCTAGCCAGCCGTTCTGCGGTTGATCGGGGGGTTCTGTATATAGAAGAAGGGGCGTGCGTTTCTCGGCGTGTGGGAAATGATCGAAATGATAATGAGCGCGAGGATCAGGAGGGCGAGGCTCGCGAGGGGGAGGATCAGGCGAGTGAGGGTCGTGCAGGTGAGGATCAGGTGAGCGTGGAGCAGGAGGGTGAGGATGTGGAGAAGGAGGACCAGGAGAGCGAGGCTGGCGAACATGATAATCAGGATGGTGAGGATCGGGCAAGCGTGGAGCAGGAGAGAGGGACCAGCAGAGGAAACCGAGGATCAGCAGAGTGAGGATCACGAGTAGAGGGAGGATCAGGATAATGAGAGAGAGGAGGGCGAGGAGCAGGATCCTGAAGCATTGGGGCGAGGGTGAGGAGATGAGGAAAGCGGGGGGGCGTTTTTTTTGGTGTATATATATATATATATATATAAGAAAAACACATATATATATATATAAATAAATAAATAAGAAAAACGTGTCACTGGAGGGCAGCATTTTTGAATTCGTGCCGGATTCGCCTGAAACGGAACAGGGGGTCTTTGAGGGTCTCCTTGGGGAGGCTTCGTTTTTTTGTTTTTTCTGAGGACGTCCCACGCGAGGGCGCCGGTTTGGAATTCGTCGCTGGATTCGCCAGGTTCGTCAGATTTCCCGGATCTCGCCTGCAAGGGAAGAGGCAGGCCTCTGAGGGTCTCCTTGGGGAGGCTCGGGGGCTTTTTTTTCTGAGGACGTCCCACGCGAGGGCGCCAGTTTGGAACTCGTCGCCCCGGTTCGTCAGATTTCCCAGATCTCGCTCGAAACGGAACAGGGGCCCTCTGAGGGCCTCTTTGGGGAGGCTCGGGGGCCAGCTTTTCTGAGGATGTCCCACGCGAGGGCGCTGGTTTGGAATTCGTCGCCGTTTTCGCCATGTTCGCCGGATTCCCCGGATCTCGCCTGAAACGAAACAGGGGGGCTTTCGAGGGCTTCCTTGTGGAGGTTCCAGCGGCGTTTTTTTTCTGAGGATGTCCCATGCGAGGGCGTTGGTTTGGAATTCGTCGCCGGATTCGCCCGATTCGCCGGATGTCCCGGATCTTGTCTGAAACGGCAGGGGGGCCTCTGCGGGCCTCCTTGGGAAGGCTCATTATTCTGAGAATGTTCCACGCGAGGGCGCCGGTTTGGAATTCGTCGCCGTATTCGCCCGATTCGCCGGATTTCCCGGATCTCGCTGGGAACGAAACAGGGGGGTTCTTGGAGGGCCTCCTTGGGGAGGCTCGGGGGGCCGGTCTGTCTGAGGATGTCCCACGTGTGGGCGCCGGTTTGGAATTCGTCGCCATATATTCGCCCGGTTCGCCAGATTTCCCGGACCTCGCCTGAAACGGAACGGGGAGCCTTCCGATGGCGTCCTTAGGGAGGCTCTGGTGAAGCGTTTTTTCTGAGGACGTCCCACGCGAGGGCGCCGGTTTGGAATTCGTCGCCGGATTTGCCGCATTCGTCAGATTTCGCGGATCTCGCCTGCAACGGAAGAGGCAGGCCTCTGAGGGCCTCCTTGGGGAGGCTCGGGGGCCTGTTTTTCTGAGGACGTCCCACGCGAGGGCGCCAGTTTGGAATTCGTCGCCAGATTCGCCCGATTCGCCAGATTTCCCGGATCTCGCCTGCAACGGAAGAGGCAGGCCTCTGAGGGCCTCCTTTGGCAAGGGCGCCCTCGAGGGCGCGAAGTTATACGCGGTTCGCGCTTCGCGGTTCGGCTCCGATTCCCCTGGGAGGCGGCGCGAGAGCGCGCAGTTATTTGCACTTCGCGCTTCGCGCAGCGCGAAGCGCGAAGTTGGGAGCCCTTGTTTGGGAGGCTCGGGTGCTGGTTTTTCAGAGGATGTCCCACGCGAGGGTGGGACTCGCCCGACTCGCCGGATTTCTCGGATTTGGTTGAAACGGAAAAGGGGTGGCGGTCGGCGGTGCCATTGGTTCGCCTGCCGGGGGTCAGGATGTCGTGAGTTCTGCAGAGACGTCAAAATAAGATCCCCCCCGCAGTTAACGGTACACCTTTTCGTATGGCATACATTGGATTTCGCCCCATCGTCCATTTTAAATATGAATCCATACCGTCCCAGGCATGCCATTGCAACAAATATTATGTGCGTTTATTCGTTTGTCTGCAATCATCAGTTTTCAATGATCCCTTGCAAAAACGGGACGAAGTACGCACGCGCGCCTCGCCGCGCGCGCATGCCCAAAATTTGAGGTGCCGCTGGGAATTCAAAATCGAGTGTCCCGATCACATACAACTAATTATCAACAAAGTTTTCGTTCGCGCTCTCGCGAAATAAAAGCAAACCATAGATGTTTCAACATGTTCATGACATGCTCTCAAATGAGCTTCCCGCGCGCGCATGTCAAAATCGTTCGAACGCCCTAGCGCGCGAGCTGTCGCATAAATCCCTTGCAACCAATACGACGAAGTGCACTCGTGCGCCGTCGGGCGAGGCCGACATCCTTCAACAAGCACTGGTTTTGCAAGGATTTCGCAATCGAGTGCTCCGAATACATACAACATACATAGTCTTGCAACATCAGTTTTCAAAAACATCAGCGCTCGCGGTCTTGCGGATTCTCAAGAAAACCATGGGTCTTTCACCATCTCCATTACATTCGGCCAAACGGGCCTTTCGCGCCGCATGTCGACATCATTCGAGCGCCCTTGCGCGCGTGCTCGGGGGCGCGATCCGTGTCAAGTAATGCAATGCGGGCCACTCTCGCGCGTCGGCCGCGCACGTATGTCGAACTTCCAAAACCTTCATCACCGATGCGAGGACGCCGCCATCGTCGTCGGCGTGATCAGCGTCGGCGCCGTCACTGGCCGTGCCGTCGCTGTTGTCACTGGCCGTGCCGTGCCCACGCTGGCTAACATTGGATCTGATTATGCATCAAGCAGATCGCAGTTCAAAGGTTGCACCATTCACATATTCAGCCGCACAGACTGCACATCGAAAGTGAACGAACCTTGTGCTCGGGGTCCACGCTCGCAAGCGTTGCTTAGGCCTGGAGTGCTGAAGGTAATGACTCTGAGTGCGTAGGTGCGCGGCGCCGTGCCGAGGCGCGGGCAAGGAGGCGTCCGGCGGCGCCCGCATACGCTACATCATGAACGAATTCCTGACCGAGTTCCAGGAGGCAGCGGGAAGGAGGAGGACGATGATGATGGTGCGGAGGGTGGTGTTGAGGATGATTGGGGTGGTGTTGATGATGATGGGCATTTTGATGAGACCATGACAATGCTGGTCGACAGAAGTATGACAAAGATGAGGATGATGGTGGTGACGAGGAAACGCAGGTTGATGATGACACGAATGATGTTATGATGGTGATGATGACGGCTATGGTGATTGCGATGGCGATGGTGATGGGGATGCTGACGATGCCGATGACGATGGCGACGATGATGATACTGATGATGATGATGATGATGATGATTATGGTGACGAGGATGCGCATAAGGATGATGAGGTGGATGATGATGAGGATGACGATGATGCGGTTGAGGTTGATGGTGGTGGTGATGATCATGATGATGCTGATGTTGATGTTGGTGATTGTGTTGAGGACGATGCTGATGAGTTTAATGATACCGATGATGTTGGTGACGACGACGATGATACGATGATGATGGTGATCATGACTATGGTGATGAGCTTGATGATGAAGACGATGATGATGATTATGATACTGATGATGATGCGTCTGAGGATGCTGGTGATGATCATGATGATGATGATCCTGATGATGGCGATGGTGACGATGATGTTTATGATGATGGTGACGACGATGATGATTATGATGACGATGGTGGGGGTGACGATTCTGATGTGATGATGCTCAAGATGATGATGATGATGATGATGATGATGATGATGATCCTGATGATACTGGTGAGGTTTTTTTTCATCACGACGCTGATGCTGATGGCGACCATGACTATGATCATGATGGTGATGATTTGTCTTGGATGCTGATGTTGATGATGCTGATGCTGGTTGTGAAATGGTGCATGTGTCACGTGCGTATATGCGCCATTCGCTGCCGCTTGACCTCTAGGGGCCTAAAACGCATCGTGATCACACTGGCAGCGAAGCTACTACACGATCCCCGTATCGTACCACTGCGCGCACGTCTCGTCAGAGAGTTTCGCACTACCTCTTTTTACTTTCTCTACTGGTTGTTTCCCTCGCTAGGTGACGGAGCGTTGCGCCATGGCACTGGTTTATTTTCGCAACGCCGTCGCGCTGACGCGGCCCGAGACGAAGAGTGGCTCCTACATCTACGACGGCACGGTGAACAACTCTCACGAGTGGGAATTCCTCACGGAGATGCGCACGAGTGCCTCTTCTTGGGGCCCTGTCGCCGTGGGGCCCTTTTCGCAACCTGTTCGTTCTTTATGGGTGCACTTCCCGGGGCTCTCTTGTGGCCACATGGGGGCAATGTTCGAGCCTTCTTGGGGCGCCTCGTGGGGCCCTCCTGTGATCTGTCTTGGGATTTCTGTGAGCCTTCTTCGAGCCTCGCTTGGGCCGCCCCCTGGAACCCCTCTCGGAGCGGTCTTGGGATCCTCTTGGATTGCCTTCTGAAGTTCTCATGGGCCCCCCTTATGGACGCCCTTAGGATCTTCGTAGAGAGCCTTGTCGGGAATCGTCTCTGTTCGACTTACGTTCTTAATACTCATTTAAACTACGCTGTCCTAGGATCCCACGCGCCAGAGCTGTAGGGGGTCAGGCGGCGCCCACGGCGCCGTCAGGCTTCAAAGGATAATTGCGAATACCCGACACAGCAGCAGAAGACGAGGCGAAACCAGACACGGGCGAGCGTGGGGCGTCCAGCCCCCAAAGTTTGTTCGATCGATCCCGCTCGGGACCTGCAGGCGGGCCCCGAAGGCCCCAAACAGTCGGTACCTGACCTGGCACTCCAGGGGGCCCTCGAGGCCAACAAAAACAGATCACGTGCGGAAGACCCTTCCCCTCGAGAGGAGGGCGGGCGGGGCCGAAATCTTGTGGACGGCAGAGCCGAGGGAGGACACAGAAGAGGACGGCACGAGGGGGGGGGAACAAGCAGTATAAAAGAGCGTTATAATAACATTTATTTAAACTACGCTGTCCTAGGATCCCACGTGCCAGAGCTGTAGGGGGTCAGGCGGCGCCCACGGCGCCGTCAGGCTTCAAAGGATAACTGCGAATACCCGACACAGCAGCAGAAGACGAGGCGAAACCAGACACGGGAGAGCGTGGGGCGTCCAGCCCCCAAAGTTTGTTCGATCGATCCCGCTCGGGACCTGCAGGCGGGCCCCGAAGGCCCCAACAAGTCGGTACCTGACCTGGCACTCCAGGGGGCCCTCGAGGCCAACAAAAACAGATCACGTGCGGAAGACCCCACACAGGCCAACCAGCCCCTTCTGGCCGCAGGCCCTATCTAGATTGCACTGCGCAGAACGTAGCACACCAGGGGGGGGGGGGAGGGAGGGGCGAAGGAGTAGGTAACTAGTCCTGACCCCCCCAGCTTAGGCACATATTTAGGGATCACCGAAAACACAACATTCTTCATATTAAATGGAGAAGTGAGGCTACGTGCTGCGCCTTCTAATTTGCGCCGTGAGGCCCGACCTGGGCCTCGCCACCTTTGGGCGCGGCTCCGCGGTGGAGCCGAGCGGCAGCGAGTCGCCCTGCAGCCCCTTCAGCATACCTATCAGACGAGCAGTGAGTGGCTTCTGCGCCACCCTGGATTTCCCCAGCGCCTGTGACATGAACATGCCTGGGGCCCGCCAGAACTCCTCGCCGTCTCGAAGATTGGCGTCGCTCATGATGCTGCGCCTCGCGATGAGGATGAACGACTTCGTATACCTCTGGAGGGCACTGGAGGTGTTCCAGCGCCCCCTTCTCCGCGCGACCTCCAAGTCTCCCCCTCCCGCCACAAAGTGGGCGGCTCCCGCATGCCTGAGCCCATGCGGGGGCCCGAACTGCTCGAGCCCGAGCCTGACGAGGGAGCGGTTCCACTCGCGCCTGTACTTGTCGGGGGTGATGGGGAAGACGCAATCGTCGGGGGCGAGGTCGGAGATCAAGACCTTCATGATCTGTTTGCCGAGCTCCGTCGTCAGCTCGACGCCCTGGCCCGACCCCGTCTTGACCTTCTCGCCCCTGGCGCGGTCCCCCAGGAGCAAGGCCATGCGCCCCGTCTTGTCCGTGCTCACGTCGCGCCTCCGAAGGCCGGCCCAATCCTGCTCTCGTAGCCAGCCGTCCAGCTGCACTATGACGGCGCAGGCCTCGAGGGGCAGCCCGCGCTCACACAAATCCACCACTATCAGCGCGACCCCTTCGATAGGGATGGGCTGCCCCTCCTGCCCCTGCTGCTGCCTCTCCCACGCCTTGAGGGCCCTCGCGGCGAGGGGCAGGTAGTTACGATGATCCTCGAAGATGTGCATGAAGCCATTGAAAGCCAAACTGCCACTCGCATACCCAAGTCCACGTACGTAGCATAGATCCGAGAGGTATGATGCCAAGGCCTTGTCGCGCTGGTGCACCGTCTCGAACGGAACGCCCAGCCTCTTGGTGTCGATGAGAAACTCCCTGACAGCCTTCTCGTACACCACATTCGTCTTGTCGTCGACCGCGTGGATCGCCAATCTGTTGTTGAACTCCAACGTGTCCGTGGCCGCGTTCGTCCAAGCCAGCGCTCCCCTGGTCTTCAAGGGCGGTGGTCTCGATGTCGAACGAACAGCTCCGACGGTGTGCACGAGGCCGAAGATGATCAGGAAGAGACAAGATGGCCGTGATCTCGTCGAAGTACTCCGCGGGGGATGGTGCCCGAAGACCCACTCCTCGGACCTCTCCAGCGCCTCGGCCAGCTCCACCAGGTAACTCATCACGTCGAGGGCCTCCCCAGCATCGCCCTCGCCGCCTTCGGGGTGTGACGCCACTTGTGCTCCTCCTTCGTCGCTTCTGCCGCTCCGATCCCCAGCCCACGACTCGGTCCGTCGGCCACGTTGTCTTCCGAGGCAACCCATCTCGTACACAGCTTGATGCCACAAACCAGCACCACTGCTGCAGCTTGTCTCGCCAGATGCAGTAAGCCAGCCGCTGATGAACGTCCTTTGGCCAGCACTCCCATGGATACCAAGGAGTCCGAGAACACCAGTACCCTCTTGCCCCAGCAAGGCCTTGATCGGGAAAGGTGACGAAGCAATGCAACGATCGTGCGCAGCCCGAGGATGTTGTCGTGCTCCTCCGTGGCCCACTTCCCCTGAAACAGTAAAGCCCACCTCGAAACCGTCGTCCATGAGGCAGAAGCGGGTAGGGCCTGACCCCTCGCGCGCACGATCTTCAGCTGCCCCTCCTCGATCCTCGCCTGGGCCCCCGCCGAGACTCTGCACCAATCGGGCAAGATCTCCGCCACGGTCTCGCCGTGCAACTTCCGCCAGGCAGTGCCGTAGTTGAAGTCCGTCTCCACTGTGCCTGACCAGGTCCCAGGCTCCTCCACACTGCGAAGCCTCGAGAACCGCTTGTCGTTGGTCACCAGCAGCGCCTCCGATAACGAGTTGCCGCAGGTGTAGCCGTAGACCCCGTCCAGCTCCAAAAAGTCGGACCAGACCTCGTCGATAAACCGGGTGTGCCGAAGGACCGCCGTGAAGATGAGGCCCTCCTTGCGCATCAGCTTGGCCACCTCCAGCGCCAGGTGCTGTGCGACAGCGTCCTTGCCAGGCTGCAGGTGCACCAACCACCACCAGCGCCTCGATCCGTCCGAAGAGCCGCTCGAGCTCGCTCGGGATCATCAGGTCGTAGTTTGGGCCGCGCAGGATCTCCGAGGCCTCGCACCAGATGCCCTCGATCGTTCTCAGGTCGTCCGTCAGCGCTTCGACGCCCGAGTAGAGCTCGAGGAAGCCTGGTGTCCCCGCTGGGGGGTGGATGACCTCGTCGTCCTCCTGTCCAGCCATCTCGATCTCCTTCTCGATCTCGCCAAAGGCCTCCTCGGTCCTCATCTCCCAGACCCGGTGGTTCCCCTTGCTCATCTCCGAGCGGCACTCTCTCGAAGTGGCCTCCGTCTGAACGATGCCGTAGCCCTCCTCGGAGGCGTCCGTCATGAACACCTTGGGGTGCCAGTCGGCCTCGAGGTTGGAGGTAAAGTAAACCGAGAGGCTCGCCAGCGCCATCAGCTCGGACACGACGTCCTGGGGGAGCCTCAGGTTCTCGCCCCACTCGTCGCTCATGTGCTCCTGCACCCACGCGTAGATCGCGCTGAGGATCGCGAAGCCAGACCGAGAGATCATAAGACACCAGGTCCACATCCCCAGCAAAGACGACAGACGCGATGGCGTGGTGCTCCCAGCTATCCCGATGGCCTCCGTCGCCAAGACCAGCTCCTTCATTTTCTCGGGCTGTATCATGACGGTGTATGGACGTCCTCGGATAGTCAGGCCTAGACCCCTCGTCATCCCAGGCCCCCAATCCTCCTTGTGAGCCTGCAGACCCTTCGCCTCGAGAGAGCCCTTGACGATGTCCTTGTCTATCTGGATGTCGCCGTCCTTCGCGTCCAGGATCCTGAAACCGATGTAGTCGTCGATGTAGAGCATCAGGATCAGCGAGGCCTTCTCGAAGGAGGGGGTCGGCCGACCGTACGCCAGCTCCGCCACCTCGTAGCCCTGCACGTCCCTGAGGCACTCGGTGAGGCAGGAGTGGGCCAATAACACAGCCCAGGAATGACCCATCACGGGTGCGATGGCTCCAACACCCACGCTCGTCGCCGAGGGCTCCTCTATCGGCCTCCCCACTTCGCAGGAATACTTCCACAGTTCCCTCGGGGAGACGTCCTCCAGCACACAAAACTCCGCCAACTTGCTGTTCCATCTCAGCCTGTAAAACCAATCTGGAATGTCCCCCGCGAACGAGAAGAGCTCCTTCGTACCCAGCACGTCGGGGGACAAATCCAGTGAACTCAGCGCACTCGGTGACCCCAGTCCCGTCCACGGTGGCCTCCGAAACCTCAGGTTGAGACGCCGGCAGTCCCAGACGAGCCGCGATGACTCCACTCGGCACTCGTCGTCCTGACTCAGGTTTTTCACCACCGTGAACACGCCCACCCGCTCCTCGATGTGGTCGACGTACGTCAACATGCCCCCCTCCCACATGCGGAGGCTCAGCTCCAGACGGTTCGTCTTGTTCCTCCACCCTGGGTCGCAGTAGCTCTTCATCCCGCGATACCTGTCCCAGTCGATCTCGTCGTCCGTCTTCAGCATGGGGCCCGCCACGTTCTCGAGGTAGGGGGTCGCGGCCGCCGACAGCTTCGATATGGGTAGGCCCCTGACGCCCCGTCGGGGGACCGACACCTGCTCCGCCAAGAGGTCGCACAGGTCCCCCTTCTTCAGTCGTCCAGTTGTCCGTGCCGTCTGCCCGACACCGCCATAGTCCATCATTCTGCCCGCGCCCAGGCGGCCGAGAACCGCCCTGCCATCGCTGATGCTCCCCCAGTCGGCTCTCAGCACCAACTTCGACCAGAGCTCGTTGATGATCGTCCTCTGCGTCGGCGTCGCGCTCGACCAGGTAGATGGCGGGTAGTCGCGCCTCAGCTCCTCCACTACCTTGCAGTGCCCTCGAGCCAAAGATCTTATCGCCGCCGTCGCCCTGGCAAGCCTCCGCCACGTCACCCTGCGGCCCCTCTCCGTCAAGTGGGGATCCCTCCCCGCCATCGCCGCGTAGGGCGGCGTCGGGAGGTCTCGCAGCGGGTCCCGTTGACGATCGCACGTAGAAGCACCAGCCATCGGGGAGCAA